TGGAACACTTCATCTAAAACTAATGATGTAATGTATGGGGATTAACATAAGAATAAAAAAAAATAATAAAAAATAAAAAAAAAATGTTATCCTGCGGCAGTAACTTTGAAGAAAGTTTTGAGCTTGAGAAGCTTTAATAACTGCTTTTAATGAGATGCCCTCCATGCTTGGGTAGAACATTTTTGGCAGCTGGAAACGCTCCTGCTTACCAGTCTGTCACAGACGGCATGTACCATGGATTGCCACCACTGAGCAACTCTCTTGGGAAGAGCATTTTTGCTTCACAGCTCAGCCTGCCCCAGCCACTGGATCCACGGAGCCTACAGGTACGTTGAGAGGTATTTTTATACCTATAAACAGTGTGTTATATATCAGGGATTTGGGCACTTTGTTTCCATGTGGTTTAAATTTTGCAGGGGCTCTCCCTGCTCTAGAGCTCTTTAGCCTTGCTTGGCTCCCCTTCATTGACACAGTAGAGCAGCCTGGGCCTACTGTTATTCCCAGTCAGAGTCTTTGACAGGCAAATTGGGGCAATAGCTTATCTGCTCACAGCTGGTAGCAAAACCATCAGTTGATCTTTTCTATTTAATAAATAATAATGACAGCAATCACAATACATAAATTAGGTCAGCAGCTAAGTTTTGAAGAGCCTTTGAAGAGGTGTTATCACATGTAATCCTGGCAACTTCTATTGCTCCTAGGCACCAACAATCTTACCCACTTTCTACAACTAAAAGGTTAAGGTTCTGGCAGACCAGAGATCAGATTGCTAGGCAGTCATGGCAGTACTAGGTCACAAACTGTATTGCTAACAAATTGCCCCAAAATTTAGCAGATTAAAACAATAAATATTCATCATCTTATATCATTTCTGAGGCTCAGGAATCTGGGAACAGTTCATTGTGTAGTTCTGGCTAGTCGTGTAGATCTCTTACCGATCAAGGTATTGGCCCAGGCTGTAGTCCCGTCTGCTGGGGGAGAATGTGCTTCCAAGCCCACTCACAGGGCTGTTGGTAGGCCTCAGAAGAGCCACTTCCAAGCTCATTCACATGGGCTTCTCTACAGGCCTTCCTCACAACAAAACAGATGGATTCCTCCAGAGCAAACAATTCAAGAGAGAACACGAGACAGATCCCAAGATGGAAGTCATAGTCTTTGTATTACCTCATTTCAGAAGTGACATCCCATCATTTTTGCCATATTTTATTCACTAGAAGTGAGTTACTAATTTTAGCCCACACTCAAGAGGAGAAGACTTAAACTCCACCTCTTCCTGGGAAGAGTATCAAAGAAGTTGTGGACATATATTTAAAACCACCTCACAAACCCGGGTCTTCTGACTCCAAAAGTTCCAACTTAATGTTTATATGTTACAAAGCTAAGCCAAGTAATGCCAACATCAACCCCATGTAAGTCCCACACTTTTACACTCCCTAGCAACAAGACAATTACTCTTAGCCCAAGCCTTGACTCTCATTTAGACCCAGAAGACAGGATTGACCATGACCATTGAGCCTGTTCCTACTGCCTTTGGATGTTGCCTGGGATTAGGTAGATGCAAGTGTCCTGGCTTCCTGCTACCGGAAACAACTCCGAATTGTCTGAAGCCAGTACCAAGTCTGCAAGTATAGAATAGGGTCAGATGGACAGGCCCACTATGTTCAGGGCTGCATGTGGTACCACAAGTAGTGGGGGATGCCTTGGCTGTTGGATAGTGATATGGAGAAGACAGAGGCCCACATGTTAATGTTGTCACATTGGCTTTGAGCACTGGAACACAGTGGTGATGAAGGAAAACATTTTAAGGTTCCTAATACTGAGAACATTTGAGTAAATTTACATTTGTTGATGTAAATGTGTCCCATTGTTATTATAGTATTCTGGAACTTCCAAACACTGGTGCTGACTAGTTACACTGAAGTCTTAAGTACCCTTCTATGTTTGGCCAGATTCTGGAGGAAAAGAAAAAAAAATATTACTCTCTCCTCTACATTATCAGGGACTTTCTATTAAGAGCTATTTCTACATAGTAAATAAATCATCCCATGGTGTTTTGGAGTACAGACACAGAAATTCTGTTCATATAAGATGTTTATTATTTATGGACACAGTACAGCATTATCGTGTTTCTTATTTGGTTCTTTTAGGCATCTATGCTATTCCCTTGGAGAGCATTTCTGGAAGATGGAGGACTGTTTCCAGTTATGAGGAGCAGCCCAGACACCCTAGAATATAATATGCAGGTAGGATAGGTCTTGCCACTTGTCACAGAGAGAACTGAATGCAGACTGCAAAGTAGGTGTCATTGGGTCCATAGGTCAGTGGTGAATAATTTATGAGATAAGCAGGGGTGTTTATGGGATTATGAAGCCATAAACCCAATGATACAAGGTGAGTCAGGTTTTCTTCTGACAGAAGAGAATTATGTTCTCAGTGGTATGGGCCTCAGTTGTAGACTCAGCTGCAATTCCCATGGCCAGTAATGATCTGGGAGAGTGGCCATCCATCTCCAATCACTCTCTGGGCCTCTTAGAGAAACACCTAGGCTGGAAGTTCAGGGTTGTGGGACCAGGATCCTGGCCTGCCTGTGAACAGTGGCAGGAAGAGAACTCTTTAAGCAGGATCCATAAGGAGAATTTCTTTCAATTATGTGTTTCCCCCCGATTACCTAAGCAAATATCATTGTGTTCTCATTTTTAAAGATAGAAAATATAAAAAATATTAAGAAAAACATGAAAATCAATCGTAAATTTGCTTCAAAATAATATGGAAGTGGGGAGTGACAGGGACAGGGGCAGGACTGGCCATAGGTTGTTAGTTCTTAGGGCTGGGTGATGGGAATGATACTGTTTGCTTTTGTTTCTGCTCAAAATTAAAATTGTTTGGATTTTTTAAAGTAAAGTAGTAAGAATGGTTAAGAAAATCAATTATAGTCCCCCACTAGGAAACAATCACAGTTCACATTTCGGTTTATTTTTTCCAGTATTTTCCTTATGCATACATGTGTTTATATCTGTACTTTTAAAGGAAAATTGATACCATACTATACATTCACCATGTACAGATACCACTGTAAAGTGCTGGGAAATTTGGACTTCCATACAAAGCCAAACGTCTGATATGTTCAAGAAGGACTTTGAGCTAGGGGCGCCTGGGTGGCTCAGTCGTTAAGCGTCTGCCTTCAGCTCAGGTCATGATCCCAGGGTCCTGGGATCGAGTCCCACATCGGGCTCCCTGCTCAGCAGGAAGCCTGCTTCTCTCTCTCCCATTCCCCCTGCTTGTGTTCCCTCTCTCGCTGTGTCTCTCTCTGTCAAATAAATAAATAAAAATCTTTAAAAAAAAAAAAAAAAAAGGACTTTGAGCTAGAAATGTTACTCTGATTTTTACTGATTTTCTAATAGTCAAGAGGGCAGGGCTTATACACATAATTATTCCTAGTTTTCTCCCCAAAATCATTTATAAAGGATACCTAGAGATCTTCAAAATGGGTGTTTTGTTTTGTTCTTTTTTTGTTTTTAGCTGTGCCTCTGTAGGCTGAGCGACCCTGACCTTAAGGCGGCCCATGGAGAGCTGGTGGGCATGCAGCTGCTTTTGGAAGATGTACTTCTGAGCAGCAAACATATGATCATGGAGGATCCCTCCAGACAGCAAGCCACACTGGATAAACACTCTCAAGTACGTAATTGGCCAGTGCTGTATTGTACTAAAGGAACTTCCTCTCTGGGAGATGGGCCAGAGAGCCACCTCTGTCCAATAGCGTCTCCCAATGGGTCCCAGGACTGTGCAGGGGTCGCCTGTGATCCATGGTATATTCATTTCTTTTCACTTTAAAAATAGAACAAAGGTTGTGGGCAGCCCATTGAAACCAAATGGAACAAATAATCCAACTGGCTGGATTTCTTTAGGAGTCACACACATTTAGAGTTGGAAGACACATTTAGAACTGGAGTTGGAAGGACTGGAGGGGTATGACAGAGGCCCCGGGTGAACTCCTCCAGCCTGGGCTCTCGTCTTCATCACTCAACTAGCCTGTGGATGCCTAGGCGCTGCCTCCTCTGGACTTGTCCCCCTGAAGCTCTGAGGTACCAAGAGCCTCTAGCCCACCTTATCATGACTGGAAACAATTCTGCCCATATCTGGGAACCAGACAGAGACTTGTCTGGACACAGGGTAAGCTAGCTGGTGCCCCCATCTGAAGAGCCTCCTCTTCCGAGCCAACCTTTCCAAGAGAGGTCTGCAGCAGCCCCCTCCAATTCCTTACCTTCAGTCCGCTCCTCAGAAACTGCACTTCATCACCACTGAGACTGCTCTCATCAAGAGCACCATGGTCCTTGTCATTAAATCCCCTGGATACTTTTTAGTCCCCTTCCAAGCTGACCCCTTGGCAGCGTTTGACACAGCGTGTCCTTCTTGCCATCTCCCTGTGCCTGGCTTCCAAAGCACAGCTCCCTCCTAGTTTTCCTCCGGCCTTGGTAGCCAGGCCTTCTCAGACTTCCCCATAGACTCTCCTCTGCCTCCTGCCTCCCCTCTTCCTCTCGCAATCCCCAAAGTATTATTTTTGGGGTTCTGTCCCGCTGCTACACTCCCAGGTCTGCATTTTGACTTCCATGACGTTAGCCACTTTTGTCTTTGTAGGTCCCTTCCTCCATAAAAAAGCATTAAAAGTGATAGTTTACAACTGTGTTAATATAAAAAAAAATAATATCCTATATTAAAACATTTTATTCAGCCTCAATATCCTTTATTTTCTGATTTTAAAATAAATTAAAACACCCTGTGGGCCCTAGGCACTGTGCCTTCTGTGTCTGGTCAATAAGCGTCTCCTGAACACTATTAATCCTACTATTGGCTATGACTGAGATCCTTTCAGAGTGCTTTAGTAATTATTAGTTTCTTTAATCATCACAATAATTCCATGAAGTAGGTACTTTCATTATTCTCCTTTTACAGATAATACTGAAGCTCAGAAAGGTTAAGTGATGTGCCCAAAGTCACATACCTAGTGAGGAAAGAAACCCAGATTCCAACTGAACAGTCTGGCCCTGAAGCTCCCTTCTACTCTCACCCACTACGTTTTTCCACTTCTCAGCCTCTCCCTAGGCAAACTCATCTGCTTTTGTAACTTTGACAACTTTACATGTGATGACTCATGCAATGACCATCTACATGTCGTGTCCAAGTTTCAATCCTGTCAGATTCGTGCGTTCACTTCCTTGTTCCATCCCAGAGTCCGTGTGTCCCAAACTGAGCATATTTCACTGCCCAAAACTTGCTCTTCTTTCCATATTCCCTGTCAGTGAACCACCATCTGCCCAGTCACCCAAGCCAAGAAATCTGGACACCCACCTTTGATTTCTCTCTATTATACCCCACAATCAGATGCTAAGTTTTACTATCCTATTACTTTAATATCTCTCAAGTTTGTCTACTGTTCCCCATCTTCCAACACCAACCCCCAATCAGCATCATCTCCTAATGTTAGGCTATGAGCATAACCTCCAATTGGACTCCCTATATTCACTCTTGCCTTCTTCCTGTACATTCACCAGGGTAATATTTTTAAATGCAAACCTGATTATGTCACTTCCCTCTTATAACCCTTCAATGACTTCCAAATGCCCCAAGAATAGAATCCAAATGCTGTAACCAGACCTTCACCACCTATCTCCTGCTGACATCTCTACCCTCAACTTCTTTCATTTTATCAAATGAACCATGCTCTCTCTCCTCAGTAACTTTGTGCGAGCCAGCCCCTCTGCTGGAAAATGTCCTTCCTTGTCCTCCTCCTTCTCTACTTCATCATCTGATCAACTCCTATTTATCCTTCAGGTTTCAACTTCCACACCAGTCTTCCAGAAGCTTTTTCAGATTTTCTACCTTTGAGCTGATGCCCCTCTCTGCCAATGAGGGTGCACTAGTTATAAGCGACAGTTGTCCTGCTCTCCATGACTTAAATTAGGGTACTAATCTTTCAAAACAAGTCTAGGAGGAGGTGGTTCAGGTTGGTACAGTCACTCAGGTTGGTGTAGGCCCCAGCTCTGCCATCATGGGTGTGTCTGAAAAATGTCTCTTTCATCCTTGTAAAGATGAAAACAGGGGCAAAAAAGCTTTCTCCTTAAGGGGCTTTAACTTTTTACCAAGGAAGAAAATCCTTCCCAGAGCCTTCTAATAGATTTTCCTTGTGTCCTACTGGCTAAAATTGAGTCACAGGTCTACTTCAGGCAAATTAGGGGAAAAGGAATTGTGTTTAGATGTGCCATCTAAATTCCACAACAGAATTAGATGTTTCACTCAGAGGGAGCATTTGCAAAGCAGGCATTGCCACCAAGTAGTACCAAGATCAAGAAGCATGCTGGGCCCTTTGTGCCCTCTATTTGCTATTTCTTGGTCCTGTTTTTGATGGATTGCCATCCTTTCCTGACATCCCCACTGTCCCCCACCTTCATGCTTTATCTTGTCTCCTGTTCCTTCTTTCATCCTTTAAAATGCTTAGGAAGAGAAGACTTCTCTTAATATGAATATATTAACAAGGTAAGTTTGCTTTAAAGTTATTTATTTTAATTAGTTTTATTTCATGATTTGTTTTTAAATATTCATAGACAATAGGAAGCACTGGGATCTAGCCCCTCAATGGGCTCCCCGCCCAGTGGGAAGCCTGTTTCTCTCCCACTTCCCCTGCTTGTGTTCCCTCTCTCACTGTCCCTATCTCTGTCAAATGAATAAATAAAATCTTTAAAAATGAAAAAAATGATAATACATAGTGATTCCATGTTTGTATGCATTGCAAAATGATCATCACAGTAAGTCTAGTTACTGTCCATCACTATACAAAGTTAATACAATATTATTGACTGTATTCCCCAAACTGTACATTACATCCCCATGATTTTTTATTTTATAACTGGAAGTTTGTACTTCTTGATCCCTTTTACTCATTTAGTCCCCCAAACCTCCTCTCCTCTGGCAACCACCAGTCTGTTCTCTATATCTATGTCTTGGTTTAATTTTGTTTTGTTTTGTTTTTTAGATTCCACATGTAAGTGAAAGCATGCAGTATTTGTCTCTGACTGACTTATATGACTTAGCATAATACCTTCAAGATCCATCCATATTGTCACAAATAGCAGGCTTTTATTCTTTTTTATGGCTGAGTAGTATTCGTGTGTGTGTGTGTGTGTGTGTGTAACCACATCTTTATCTGGTTATCCATCAATGAACACATAGATTTTTCCAATATCTTGGCTATTGCAAATAATGCTTCAATGAACATAACATGCATATATCTTTTCAAATTGTATTTTCATTTTCTTCAGGTAGATACCCAGTAGTGGAATTACTGGATCATATGGTAGTTCTATTTTTTTAAATTTTTTATTTTTTTCTTTAAGATTTTTTTTTTTAAGATTTTTTAATTTATTTATTTGACAGAGAGAGAGATAGCGAGAGCAGGAACACAAGCAGGGGGAGTGGGAGAGGGAGAAGCAGGCTTCCCGCCGAGCAGGGAGCCCGATGTGGGACTCGATCCCAGGACCCTGGGATCATGACCTGAGCCGAAGGCAGACGCTTAACGACTGAGCCACCCAGGTGCCCGGTAGTTCTATTTTTAAGAGGACTCTCCATACTGTTTTTCATAGTGGTACACCAATTTACATTCCCACCAACTGCACAACAGTTCCCTTTTTACCCTATCCTTGCCAGTACTTGTTTTTTGTCTTTTTTATGATAGTTATTCTGACAGGTGTGCAGTGATATCTCATTCTGGTTTTGATTTACATTTCTCTGGTGATTAGTAATGTTAAGCATTTTTTCATATACTTATTGGCCATCTGTATAGGTTTTTTTTTTTAAATGTCTATTCAGATCCTCTATTTTTAAATTTTTTTGTTTTTTTGTTATTGACTTGTATGAGTTCTTTATGTATTCTGGATTTTAACCCCTATTAGGTATATGATTTGCAAATATCTTCTTCCATTCAGTAAATTACTTTTTATTTTGTTGGTGGTTTCCTTCACTGTACAGTAGCTTTTTAGTTTGATGTAGTCCCACTTGTTTGCTTTTGCTTTTGTTTTCCTTGCTGTTTCCCTTGCCTTTGGAGTCAGATCCAAAGAAATATCACTAAGACCAATGTCAAAGATCTTACTGCCTATATTTCCTTCCAGGAGTTTTAAGTTTCAGGTCTTACATTCAAGTCTTTCATCCATTTTGTGTTTATTTTTGTATTTGGTGTAAGATAGTGGTCTGTTTTAATTTTTGCATGTAGCTGTCCAGTTTTCCCAGTACCAGTTATTGAAGAGATGGTCCTTTCCCCATTCTATATTCTTACCTACTTTGTCATAAATTAATTGATCATATATGCATGAATTTATTTCTGGGCTCTCTATTCTGTTCCATTGACCAATGTATTTATATTTATGCTAATACCGCGCTGTTTGATTATTATAGCTTTGTAGTATAGTTTGAGCATGATACTGCTGGATTTGTTTTTCTTTCACAAGATTGTTTTGGTCATTTGGGGGTCTTTTGTGGTTCCATATAAATTTTAGAATTATTTATTCTAGTTCTGTGAAAAATGCCTTGGAATTTTCATAGAGACTGCATGAATCTATAGATTGTTTTGTCTAGTATGAATATTTTAATATTAATTTTAATTCTTCTAATTCCATGAACATGGATAG